GCATCATTTTATTATGATACCAGCTGGTAAACTATGGCAAACAAGTGAATTAAAATGCACAAGAAGCATCTCGATGGACCCCTCTATCAAGCTCCTAAAGTTTGCAGATGATACAATGATCACTGGTTTCATCTGAGATGGTGACAAGTCAGCCTACAGGCGGGAGGTTGAGCAGCTGGTCCTGTGGTGTAGCAGCAACAACCTGGAGCTGAACATGCTCAAAACAGTGGAGATGACAGTAGACTTCAGCAAGAACCCTCCCACGTTACCCCCACTCACCATACTTGGCAGCACTGTATCAGCAGTAAAGTCCTACAAGTTCCTGGGCTCCACTATCTCCCAGGACCTGAAGTGGATGTCCAACATCAGGACCATCACCAAGAAGGCACAGCAGAGGATGTACGTCCTGTGCCAGCTCAGGAAGTTCGACCTGCCCTGGGAGCTGCTGATACAGTTCTACAGAGGAATCATTGAGTCTGTTCTCTGCACATCCATCACTGTCTGGTTTGGCTCAACAACCAAACAGGACACGAACAGACTCCAGCGGACAGTCAGGACTGCAGAAAAGGTCATTGGTGTGAGCTTGCCCTCCATGGAGGACCTGTACATGAGGTGTACAGGTCCTCCATGGAGTAAAAAGGAGGGCGGAGAGGATCACTGCAGACTCCTCACACCCCAGACACAATCTGTTTGAACTCCTCCCTTCTGGATGGCGTTACAGGTCACTGTGCACCAAGGCAACCAGGCACAAGGACAGTTTCTTCCCCTGGGCTGTCGCTCTGATGAACACTTAACCAATGACCATATGACTGGACAATAACCCTCAGTGTATATACATTGTACAGATTATACTGATCCGTACAGGTCTCTAGTTTTAAGTACTCTACTTTTATTCCTATTTATCTCATTTCAATGATCATTCCTTTGTCTGTCTGCATTGTTTACTGCCATTTTATACTGTTTATTTTGCATTGTTTGCACAGTTTTTTGCTTGTTAATACTGCTTATTTTATTATATTACACAGCCTTCTGCTGGTTTACTGTTTACTTGCCCCTTACATGGGGATATGTACATGCACATTGACAGCTGATGTACCAGAGTTAAATTCCTCGTGTGTCCAACACACCTGGCCAATAAAGCAGATTTTGATTCTTCTATAGGTTGGAAGAAGGTGGACCATACAGTGACAGTTTGAGGGCTGCGCAGTGGACAGAGCGATAGGTGTCTTTTATTGTTGTGTAGCAGTGGTCCAGTGTGATTTTCTCCCTGGTGGGACAGGTAACGTGCTGTCTGTATTTGGGCAATTCGTGGGTGAGATTGGCCCTGTTAAAGTCCTCTAGAACAATGAGTGGAGAGTCAGGATGTTAGCTCTACGCTAGTGATCAGTTCAGCCAACTTTGCAGTCAGCTAGAATGTCTCCAGATTACAACCAGAGTATTGCAATACAAAGGTACAAAACTGAAATGTTAATGTTAGCTTGCTATTGATGCCAACATATACTATACATGTTAGCTAGCTACTTACACATCTAGCAGGAAGAAAACCACATATGAGTCAAATTTTAGTCCTTTGGATTCTGTTAGTGCTCTCCATCTCTGACATGCCAAACTGATGTTGATTTTTTGGACATTCACATGGGTCTATATGATTTGATTTGATTTGATTTATTCGTTCAAGCATGTAAAGACAGTTGATATGTCAACACACATATCCAACAAATGCTAATCCAATATCAATTTGCTTATACCTAGTACATGCTTGAATGGAGTAGGAAGAAGTCAGACTTATCCAGTCCTACCCCATGACATCATCTTACCATCATTGGTTTGCAAGCAGTATCTCTACATAGATAATTTTGTTCTACACCACACAAGTAATATACTAAAGAATTATTACATAGTGTTAACATTCATACACCACACCCACAATGTTCCATCTAATTTATCATTAAGCCTGTTCTTGCATATATCTTGATTGACACATACCTTTATATTTATGTTTAAACTCGTCAATTCTATTACTATTTTTTATGTCTACACTTAAATTATTCCATAGTTTTACCCCGCTTATTGAAATACAAAATCTTTTTTTGGTTGTACGTATAACATGAATTTTTAAATTTAACTGACCCCTTAAATTGTATCCCCCTTCCCTTTCATTAAATAGTTTTTGAATTCCACAAGGTAATAAATTGTTCCTGGCTTTATACATAAACACAGCAGTCTTATATCCCACTATATCAAAAAATTTTAACAATTTAGACTGTATGAAAGCTACACTGGTGTGATCCCTATACCCCATCTTATGCACAATTCTTATCGCTCTTTTTTGTAATATATACAATGGTTGAAGTGAGCTTTTGTATGTGTTTCCCCAGTTTTCAACGCCATACTCTAAGTATGGTAAAATCACTGAAGAATACAAAATGCGTAGTGCTTTCCCATCCAAAATATATATGTGTACATGTGTATGCACAAAATATCTGTGTAGAAACTTGTGCTTGAACATACTGTTCTGCCATTCTCCCATGTTACCTTGGAGCAGTGTGAGTCTAACAGAAATGTCTAAATGTCACAAATGATATGGATTCTGTGGAGTTTATGCTAGAAGGCAAACAGTTTCTGCTGGAATGAACAGAGCTGAGGTGATCTTAGTCCAACAGAAAAACTTTAGTATTCAGTGCAGTGCAGGCCTGTGGCAGAGCCGTGATGCTGTGGCTTCTGTCTAGTATCATTAAACAGTTCAGTCCTCTTGTTCATCAGCTACTTTTTGTTTCCACTTTTCCTGCTACATATAACATTATGTAATGGATTCTGAGAACCAGTAGTTCTCTGTATTACACACAAAGATGTAAAAAATAGAACACACTTCTTATTTTAGTTTTTTGTCCTATAATCTGTTTTTACCGAGGCTTACAACTCTGTCATCTGCTCCCTTTGAACGATATTCTTTATTTTATTTATAAAAATACTATGTTTAGATCCAAACTGGCTTTTCAAATTTCACTTCTATTCATATTTGATGCTATATTCAGGAGTGTGTCTGTGGAGATGTGAAGCACAAGACTGACTCAGTTAAATGGAAATTATGTAGGTTTCCTTTAGTACGTATATGGCATCACGTAGTAGGCTTCCATGTATTTTATATGGATTAACATTACACAAAATGAACATGATGAAATCTAAAAGACGTGTTACAAATTGCAGCTTTGTGAAACTCTGAAAGTGTGTTAGAGACATATTGACTTTGTGGTTACTAATTATTCATGATTATGTATGTTTAATACAGCCACATTCCAACACTTCAAACAGAATTCACTGTAGGTCTGCTGTATTTTAATGCATTGAAGTAGTTGTACAATGTAGTACCTCTGCATTAGCGTACATGTAAGACACAACTGAAACTGGGACATTGACCAGATTGTCAGTTTTTCTGATTACACCACTGTTATGTTTATTTAGTGTTGAGCAATTTTGATGGTACAACTGCTGCTGCCTGTGAGAGGTGGAGCCCCTCAGGAGAGAGCAATGATTTTGGATAGGGTTGGATCGCTTTCTCACTCAGTCTCTACGCACTTTGTTCACTAGATGGCAGCAATGCCGAGACAGCGCAGTGACTTTTCTGAGCTGTCAGTGTTTTCAGTGTCAGTACTGCGGTTACTTTAGGAAGATAGAGGTCTCATGAAAAGACATTCATTCTTCCATTCACATAGCCAGTGGACAGCATCTCACATGTCTAAAAGTTATAATAAAAAAAGCTCTCACTCTGATGGGTCAAAGGAGCCATGGTGATGACATCCATGCACAACATTTGTTCATACTGGTCTGAAAAACCTCGGTCTGTTTGTAAAACGGAGTGATTTATTGGTCAGTGACACATAACCTACTTCAAACACAACCCTGCCAGTCTGCCAGCACAGCATGGCCTCTGCCAGGCCAAAGACCTGCCAAATACCATGTTTAGAGAACTAAAATTATACACACACACACACACACACACACAGAGACAGACAGAGAGAGGGAGAGAGAGAGAGAGAGAGAGAGAGATAATTGTAAACTTTCTACAATACTGAATAAAAGCTTCCAGCAAAATCTGAAAGCAGCAGGCAGCACTGGATGATCCGCTGAGCCTATATAAGTACGCTCACACTCTAAATCAACTGCTGACAACTAATAGATGCCACATCCTGACTAGCAAAGAGACTTAGTAGAACAAAGACTGTGATTTATCCAGAAAAACTAATTGTTTTGTATTTGCACATGTTTAGCCAAATTTAGAAAACACCTTCAGTAACAACGACAGCAAGAATAAACAGATTCAACACATTATGATTTCCGTTTAGGAATCAAAGTCCACCTTAAATGAACCTCTTTGTTTTGGCTTAGTTCACTAAATACTTCTTGACTTTTGTTGCAGGCAGGTACACAAGTGTGCACTGGCAAGTAGAAAGCAACCATACAGTCTGGACTAAAATTAATGGGGTTCCATTCAATAGCTGGCAAGGTCTGAACCAGAAGGTGTACCAACTCACCGGCACACCACCAGAGAGACTGGTGCTGCTGTCAGCACTCAGGAACTGCAAACACTGAATACTGTAATCATAGCAAGCGGACCACGGTTGGTCTAAACAGCTACTGAGTGACCAGGGGCCACTGCACAGGGCCCCAATGAGCAAGATACAGATAAAATTGGTGTTGTCAAAGTTAGATGGTGTGATATTTATTCATTTAACATTTAAATAATACATGGTAGTGTTTTTGTATTTTCACTCTGTACCAGCATATTTTTGTATATTCATAGTTTTCCCAGTAGTAATGGGTTCTTTTTCTGTTTGCAATATATAGTATGTGTGTGTAAATCTACCTGCAGTCAGACATGTTTTCTCTTTCACCGTGTATAGTGATGTCTGTCATTGTACTTATTTTTACATGTAGCCTATTTGTAGGAAGCGTTTTCTAACCCATGTGTGGTTGTTTGGCGCTGATCTGATGCCGTCTGATGTGCGCACTGCAGCGTCTCTGCGCCACTGGGTGCTGCTCTGAAGTCCAACCACAGCCCAGCTCCTCTTTTCACCGGGACGTGATGGACCTGTGACGGAGTCCGGTCGAAGCTGCGCTGCTCACTGAGCCAGAGCCCCGGCACCGCTTCCACTGGCCAACTTTAAATTGAGGATGACTTTATTGTTGCTTTTCATTCTGACTGTCAGTCAGTCAGCGGCCACGGGACACGGGCACGTTTATACAAACCACTGGGCGGTGAGGATAACAGGTGGTGCGGAGCAAGCTGATAAAGTCGCAGCAAAATATGGATATAGAAACCTGGGACAGGTAAAGACAGTTTGTTTCTGTTGGTTTGTTATTGTTGTGTGCCAAGGTCTTGTAGGAACACGAAGTGATGGCCACTGTTACATTGCGAAACAACAGTTTGTCTTATAACCAAAATGGCCTCACTACATTAGAAAAATATAAAGATTGCCCGAGTGTTAAAAACTGCAGCCATCACATGGTAACTTTGTCCTGTTTGTTAGAAGTTTACTTAAAAATGCTCCTAAGTTAGTCAGGGGTAACTGTTGCAGCCTAAGTTTCTCTTTCTTTCTTTGTGGAAGTTGTGACTTTCAAAACATCTTTGGATGTGATACTGAAACGTCATAACCACAGGACATAGCGCCCATTTACACCGAGGCCAAGCCTTTCTAAGAGTAAACTCATTTAGCTGTTGATAAGATTAACAGTTAAAAGTCACTGAGAACAGTTGC